ACTTTTGCTTAACTATATGAACTACAGGTTGCTATGAAAATCCAAACTGAAAGAACCTAATTTGATTAAGAATTGTTGAAGTCCATATATTTTCTATGGAACCAATTTTCTCATTATACTCACTATAACTTTGCCTTTCAAAAATCAATGGATTAGTTGAAACAATGACCTCCCATAATTTTGTTTTAAAAAATTCCCCTTTTTGGTCAGGTTCTCATTTAGATGACAGTGTAACAAAAACTTAGGACCTTACAGGTACTCTCAGTTATCATCATCTTGGGTTTCTGGAATCAACACACCATTTATAGGTTATGGTGTCCTCATGGTTGCACATTTCTTTCAACTCCTGTTATTCTAATTGAAGAGAGAGCATATGATGTTTTAGAGACTGCTGCATGCAAGCATATAAAGCCTTTGAGAGAATACAGAGTGCCAGGAAAGCTATTACTATGACTATTGGGAGGATAATACCAAGAGTTTGGAGTGTGCTCCTTACCCAAGGTCCCCATAAACCAAACCTCCTAAAATCAAGTAGATCAAAGAATGAACTAAAGAGTTAACTCACTTGACTAAGCAATGTCTTTGTCAATCTCCTGCCACTGAATTTCTATAATCTTCATTTGATGTATTTCTCCATAGGCCACAAGTGCCAGCAGCTGCACAGGTACTTTTCTGTTTCGCTAATTCTATTATTTAGCATATCTTTCAGTAAAGACTAAGCTCATGCACTAGGCGCCAACAAACTGAACCAAATCAAAATGGAGTTGCTTGTGCTAAGACTTAAAGGAAACACATAGATTCTAGAAGAGACCAGGTTTTGTTTTTTTCTCCTGCAAACCTCTATAACAAATGCTTCTGACAGCATAGGTCCACCCCCTAAAGTTTCCATTAAATCTTTTAACCAAATTCATTTCCTCTTGCCTAGATACCATCAAGCTTCAGATGATTATGCAACACAGGTTCCAGCCAGTTCCAGATGAAGACATCACCCCTGGCTATCAAGGAGCTATCCTGCCTCCACTAGGCAGAACAGGCCAAGAGTTTTGTGATACCCAATAGGTGGGGACTATCCCCTCAAGCCATCATGAAGCAGAAAAAACAAACAAACAAAAAACAAACTCTTCCTCTCATAAAGATTTATGGGGATCACATCTCTCAGGGTAGAGATGAGGCAGGAAAATATGGTCTGGAGGCTGGGAACACAAAGTCAATTTGCACTTCAGCTATGACAGGAAATAGCCTCTCCATAGGGCATAGGCCAAGTAAATGACTTTGTAAATTTACTTCATCCTTTCCATTTGCATAAGGCATACCCCAAGTAACCAATGGGATCTTCTAGAGGGTATTTAAACTCCCAAAAATTCTGTAACAAGGCCTTTGAACCCCTATGCTCAGGCCCGCTCCCACACTGTGGAGTGTACTCTAATTTTCAATAAATCACTTTATTCCTTAAAAAATAAAAATAAATAAAATAAATGGATTTAGATAATTAAACCAAATTGCATTTTCAAGGAATGAGGTAGAGACTGCTTCTCTAATTTGTAAGAAACATTTCAGTAGAATAGAAATGAGACAAAAAAATTGTATTTGGTATTAAACTAATTGCTTGTCCTTTTCACTCATGTGATAAGTAACTAAATTATTTTGTTTGTGGTCTAGTGTTCTCTCTTTTCAGGGTTATGTATAGAGAAAGTTGTCAGTTGTTACTCTGACTCCTGGACAAAGATGAATTTGAGTTTGTTCCTTTGCAACATATGGTGCAATTCTCAGTATTTTACATAATTTGTCTCCCATCATTTCTTTTGTTAAGTACCTGAAATTCAAATGCCTCACTTTGGATTGAGCTGCCCTATCCCTACTCTTCAGGCAGTCTGGTCTTTGGAATTTGCATTACTAGGTAATTCCATTCCTGTATTTCAACTTCTACCTGCCAAGATATGTATATATACGTATATATATATTTTCTCCACAGATTATTGACATGCTTAAATTTCTCCCATTATGAAACAAAGTAAAGATAAGTGAATCATACTGCAACCTATCAACCGCTGTTAGATACTTTATTTCTTTTCTTCTGTCATTGCTGAGCTGCTAAGCTCACACAAATGATATGAAGGCTAATATACCCCGGGAGATTGGTACTTTCACAAAAATTTCATGAAAACATTATAAGATTAAATAATTTGAAGAATGTTTGGATCAGATAAATTGAAACTGAATTTTTCATTGCAAGATTTCTAAGAAATCAAACATGAAAATTTTCATTATGAACTTCTAAGATGTTGTCTAATGACCATAAAGATTTTCATTCATCCAATTATTTATTCACAGAGGAGAAAATAATTTTCTCTTAGTACATTTAAAGGCATTTTTGGAAAATTATAATGTACATTTAGAGTCTCTAACGTCTCACTTTATATGTTCATCTCAATCCAGCAAAATACACATTTTGCCCCCAATTTATTTTAATCTTCTGTGACAATTGTCAACAATATTTTCCAAATGGTGGAGAAAACAAAGTAAAATAGTAACTAATGATCTTTTCAGTTGTTCACTTACTGCATCACAGTATTTCAAATCAGTGACTCTTCCCTCTCCAAAGTTACCTTTCCCTTTGACCTTTATTTTTTCTCTGTCAGGATTTTCCTCTCATATTTGTAACGTTCCTTCTCAGTGTTTTTGGCAAGCTGCCTTATATTTGTCCAATTATATTCACAAAAAAAATGCTCATCTAAAGGCTAAGGGTAACTTAATGCTTAAGGGCTGTATATAGAGTATATATTCTTACTGTATATATTCACTGGATTATGAAATGTGTTCTTGAAAGAAATCTATCGCCGGGAGGGTGGCTCACGCCTGTAATCCCAGCACTTTGGGAGGCCAAGTTGGGCAGATCACGAGGTCAAGAGACCGAGATCATCCTGGCCATCATGGTGAAACCCCGTCTCTACTAAAAATACAAAAATTAGCTGGGCGTGGTTGCATGTGCCTGTAATCTCAGCTACTCGGGAGGCTGAGGCAGGAGAATTGCTTGAACCCAGGAGGAGGAGGTTGCAGTGAGCCAAGATCACGCCACTGCACTCAGCCTGGTGCCTGGCGATGCAGCTAGACTCTGTCTCAAAAAGAAAGAAATCGGTCTACATTTTCCTGATAGTAAAATTGTTCTCCCTGCATTTCTTCAAGCTTCCAGTTCTCTTAGCTGGCTACTTGCATCTTTTTCTGGTTTTCCTGGGAAATCCTCAAATTTAATATGTATAAAAATATCTATTTTTTTCTGTTGTATCAGAACACATGGCACTACCATCTGTTCACTCAGCCATGTCAGAAACCTAAAAACTATTCTTTTCCTCTTTACTCATTCTTCCAATAAATACATGGCTGAGTTTCAGTGGTTGTGTTTTCCTGACATCTTGCAATTCCATCTCCTTATGTAAAACTTAAGGGATACTAAGTTTAATCTCTTACCTGTCACTTGATTATTGCTGTATGTTCCTCCTAGATTTATCTTTTCCCAGTCTTAGCACCTAAAAAAAGCTTTTGGAATTTTCTAATGAAAATACAAATCTGAACATGTGTCTTTGCAACTAAAATCCTTAAATAATCTTTATTATCTCGAGGATAGCCCAAAGTTCTTTTACAAGTAAAAAAATAGTATTTCAGTTCTTACATAATATTCCAGAAACTTGTCACTTCCAATCATTAGTTGAATCCCATTTCCCCTCCTATTGAAATGCAATGAAGTATTGTGACTGCTTTGAGAAAGACAGTAGAGCTGCAATTACCCTGTTTGTTTTCTGGGGTTAAGTATAAAAAGTAAATACATTTCTTCCTGGCACTCTATTGAGAAGCTTATCCTTGGAAACCAACCACCATATTGTTGAACTTAGGCAACTCAGACAGATCAAATACAGGTGTTCTGACAAACAGCCTGAGCTAAGGTCAAAATTCACAGCTGGCCCCAGTAATGGTGCTGTTAAACAGCTCTTAAGCATTAAGTTACCCCCAGCCTTTAAATCTCCCAGGTTATAGACCTCAGACTGCAAATCTGAAAAAACACAATATCCCATGTGCACTGTGTGAACTCCTGACATCCAACATCTATGGATATAATACATGAGTTTAAAAACATTTGTTATTGAATAATAGATAGCTAGAACAATTTTCTCCATAACTGGCTTTCTATCTACTTCTGTGTCCTGAAAATTTGTCTCTGTAAGAGTTGTTATGTTATGATTGAATCACATTAAATTAGAAGCAGAATGTTTATGAGCTAGGCTTCATGTTTGTCTGAAAAAAATACTTTAAAATTGTAGGTTCAACACTTCTGAAAAAAAGAGGAAAAATCCCAGCAATACAAGGATGATTCAATGTTAGAAAATCTATCAAAAGACCCTCTGTATAACTAGGAATCATGTTTTCCTAAAATTTATTTAATATCTTAATTATTAACAGTCACATCAATTTTTTATTAACTTTTGCATTATCATTCTCTTTTTAACTTTTGTGTATATTTTAACACATTTTGTAAATAACATGTATCAATATTTTTATAATCCATTATGAAAACTCTTTTAATTAAAATAATTACCAAATTTAAGTTAACTCTTATTACCCATAACTTTTTTCTTTAACCTTACTTTGTGCTTAATTTTACTTACTTCTTTTCTACTTTGATTTTCAATGCTTTGTTTTAGACTGATTGAATATAGTATCTCATTCTATTTTATTTTGGAAATTATGCTATTTCTTTCTTTTTGGGATTATTACAAGAATATTACCATCCCTACTTGGTGTCAAAAGTCTGGAGTTAATAACTTTACCAGTAATACAGAAATGTGTGTACTTATTAACGATTTTACCTCCCAATCAAGGCAATGGAGGTCTGTCTGGAGAGGTTGCTGTGAAGATGCCAGCTGTAGTGGGATAGGCATGGCCAAGACTGCGCACTCCACAGAGCCAGTGGGGGCCGGGAACAGGCAGGAGCTCTGCCGCCTACTGAGTTGGCAGGCTGGGAGTCCTGCACTGCTGGGTGCAGGCTGCATCCGCTCAGCTGCGGCTTCAGATCCGGGCATACCTGTTCTCCTGGTGGTCCAGGAAGCTCCCGCTTCTCCTGCACGTTTGTAAGTGCCTGCTCCCGCTTGCTGGCCTCTCCCTGTTCCTGGGGCCTGCTCTGATTTGTGCCTGTACCGAAAAACAAAGTTGTGGCCAAGCCCGGGCACGGTTGCAACCCGTCTGGCTGTGCGTGCGTCGGGGTGGTGCTGACACACCAGCCCCCCGCCACCTCATACCCCTCCGGACTTTGGGCACTAATTACCACACAAGGGAGGCCACAGCACTCAGGGCGGCTTTGCACCGGACGGCAGGTGCCCTTTGGCATGAGCAGCCTAGGTGCTATGGGTGGCGTGTTGATGACGGGAAGCTTTCCACCTTGCTAACCCTCCAGTCGTTCGTGTACCTCATCCTCACTGGAACCGGAACAAGAATTTGGGACTCACCGAAGGGTGGGACTGAAAGAGCTGTAACACAAACGATGCGGAAACACACCCCCTGCTTCCCACTGTGTGGACGGGGAGAAAGAGAAGGAGAGGAGAAGAGCTGCCGTCCTTCTGGGAGTGCAGACCCAGGGACTCTCAGAGCCAGGCCTATGACACCCTCTTTGAAGTTCTGCGGATCCTGGTGTCTCCGAAGCTCTTGGGCGCCACCATGTTCCCCTCATGCAGATGCTAGTGCCCTCAGTGGAAGCCACTTGCGGTATGTCTCTTCTAGCCACAGCCTCGCATAGCGCCGACACCTGTGACAGTGCCTGGAGCTGCCCTTTCCACTACAGCCAGAGCACCTGGCTGTGCGCAGTGGCCAGACTGTGTACATTTGCTCACACACCCCTCGCTACTCCACACCTGTCAGGCATGGTATTAGGCCGGTAGCGCAAGCTGAGTGCAGCCTGCCAGGCTGAGTAGGCAAAACGAGCCCAGCAGGCGCAAGCAAAACCCAGGCACAGGCAATGCTGGCCACAAAGTTTTCTGAGTGGCAAAGCAACGCCCCAAGAATCCTGTGACACTAGTATTATTTTTATAAATTTATAAAGCTACAATGTTATTCAAAGTTCAATGAGATGTTTTAAATTTGGTACCTTTAGCTTTAACTCTTTTACTGTAAAATAAAATATACACTTAGAAAAGTACACAAAACGTATGAGTTCAGCTCAATTATAACAAAGCAATCATTGTATATGTCCGATAAGTCCGACCACCCCCTACTGCTCGTGTTCCCCTAGGGACGGCAGAATGAGTAGACCAGGCGAATTAGGCGTTCAGGCTTTATTGGGCAGGGCTCCAGGCGGACCGAACACCGGGGTAGAGAGTAGATCGGCCGCGAGCAGATAATGGGAGACAGGCTTTTTATACTGTGGTAGAAGAGGCTGCAGTAATTTTCCACTGCCGTTGAGCAAGAGAGGGGACGTGCTCTTTCTCAGGCGGAGTTTCTTGCGGCTTATCGGCTATCTCCTAACAAAGTAGGGTTTGGAGGCCTGCCGCGATAAGGGAAGGAGGGGGATGGGGTCTTGCAACCAGCTCATATGGGAGCCTAGCTAAACATTAATGGTAGTACTTTTCCACTGTCGTTGGGGTTTTTCCAGTTGACTGTGGTAGGGGGAAGGGAAGGCCGGTCCTAACAGTATAAAACCATGATAAAACAGCGGGGTGTGGTGGCTTATGCCTGTAAACCCAACACTTCTGGAGATCAAGGTGGGTGGATTACCTGAGGTCGGAAGTTTGAGACCAGCCTGACCAATATGGTGACACCCCGTCTCACAAAATTACAAAAATTAGCCAGGCATGGTGACTTGCGCCTGTAGTCCCAGTTACTCAGGATGTTGAGACAGGAGAATCGCTTGAACCTAGGAGGCAGAGGTTGCAGTGAGCCAAGATCACGGCATGGCACTCCAGCCTAGGCGACAGAGCAAGACTCTGTCTCAAAAACAAGCAAACAAATAAAAAACCTTGATAAAACAACAAAAAAGAGACATACAGCACCCTAGGAACTCCCTTCTTATGCCCTACAAATGGTAAACTCCCATTTATAAAACCACATTAACATTTGTATCAATTATTTAATTAGCAAATTATTTTCCTAAACTTATTCTTATTATTGTTTTGAGACAGAATCTCACTCTGTTGCCCAGTCTGGAGTTCAGTGGCCGGCTCACTGCAACCTCTGCCTCTCAGGTTAAAGTGATTCCCCTGCCTCAGCCTCCCTAGTAGCTGGGACTACAAACATACAGCGCCATGCCCAGCTATTTTTTGTATTTTTAGTAGAGATGGGGTTTCACCATTTTGGCCAACCTGGTCTCAAACTACTGGCATCAAGTAATCCAACCATTATCAGCCTTCCAAAGTGCTGGAATTATAAGCATGAGCCATGACATCCTGTCCTTTTACTAGAAGTATACTTTAATTTCACCTGTATTTAAATTTTTATAATTAGTTATTGCTCTTGGTGATGTGTTTATTGTCAGATTCATTCTACTGTATTATTTTTTATTTTAATCATTTTATATTTTATTAATAAGGTTACCATAATTCTGTTGTTCTTGCATATTTAGATCATTTCCAATTTTAAGTAATTATGAGTAATTCAGCCATGAATATTTCTTGTCTTTTTATGTACTTATATAAACATTTCAGTTTATATGAAATGGACTGAAAATGATGGGCCATATTAATTTATATATATAAATTTATATAATTTGTGCATTTCTTAATATATTTTGTATTTGTATAAAATTCATTTGAGTTTACAATTTATTCACATTTTGTTTTCTATTTATATTTTATGAATATATTTTTATATTTTATATCAATTTAATTTATATATATTATCTGTGTATATAAATGAATTATATATTTAAGTACTATATATTAAAATTATAAATATTTGTAGTATGTGTGTGTTTGGTAGATCCCACCTTTACCAATTTACTCATAAGTTACATATTTCCTCAACTTTCATGGATCATGGCAAACTTTTTCAAAGATAATCTATTTTCACAACAAGAATGTATGAGAGTGTTGATGTTTCTCATTATCACCAGCTCTTGGTATTGACTTTCCAATTATACAAGGATTTTATAATTATTTCCTTACCATTGATTCCTAGTTTTGTTGGGTGTGTCTAGAAAATATTATCTATGTGTCAATAATTTAAACTTAAAAGAGCATTGTTAAATGGTCCAGTATATTGTCAATTGTGTAAATATTTCATATGTTCATTAAAAATATCTATTGAGTAAATTGTTTTATACATAATCACATGATTAATTACATTGACTGTATATACATGATATTTATGTAATATTTTTATATTGTATTTTAGATAGCAAAACATATGAAATATTGCTCGATGGCTTATTGATTTGTCTATTTCTCTTTTTTAGTTTAGTAAATTTCTACTTTATATATTTTCATGCTACAAAAGTGCACACAAGTTTAAAATGTTTATATTTTACTGGTTTAATTTTATGAATCTATGTTTTACAATCTTTCGTTTTTTATTTTTTATTTTATTTTTATTTATTTGTTTATTTTTTTTTAGACAGAGTCTCACTCTGTCACCAGGTGCCAGGCTAGAGAGCAGTGGCGCGACCTCGGCTCACTGAAAACTCTGCCTCCTGGGTTCAAGCAATTCTCCTGCCTCAGCCTCCCAAGTAGCTGGGACTACAGGCGCGCCACCACGCCCAGCTAATTTGTTTGTACTTTTAGTAGAGATGGGGTTTCACCATGTTGGCCAGGATGGTCTCAATCTCTTTACCTTGTGATCCGCAATCTTTCTTATGTTTTGCAATTAAGTATCAACTAAATCTAATTCTAGAACTGAGATAAAATGAAGCTGGGTCATTTTCTCTGCAAATATTTACACTACTATCTCCTAGGATGCATCATTTCCATGTAGAGAGGTTTAACAGGACAAATGCCTTGTTATGTCTTGCTGTTCAACTTTTGTATTTTTAGAACTGAAAAGGATTGCTTAGTTCTTCAGTATCTTAACCATATATATATATATATATATATACATATTTTTTTTTTTTGAAGTGAAGGCAACTGGGATGACAGTGATGGCCAAATGTCCCTAAATAGAAAGGGGTAACTCATATGATCCATATTCTATTGACTTGCCTTAACAGACAGGCAACTATTTCTACCTGTCCATATTTCCCCCTTTTCTGAATCTGAATTGGGGAGTTGGTAATTATTTACTGCCATATTAGATTACTACATTCTTTTTAGTTGCCCTACTTGGGGACATTACTGGTCTATTATTATCAGAAGTAGGATTTTTATAGATTTTTCAACACATTTGCAACTTTGTTCACTATATATTCCTGAATTTCACACTTTGGACTAGAAAACATTTTCCAATACTCTGAAGTGTGTCTTTTAGAATTTTCCTTAGTAAGAATCTGTTGGCAGAAATATTAGTATGAACTTTTTTATTCTAAGTTTAGAAAATACTGTGTTGATTATTCTTATGTATTATTTATTGTATCTTATTTTATTGAAGACAATACACTCTCATACATCTTCCACTTTTGTACTTGGAAAGTTAATCTTACTATTATTTATTTGACTGTAATATTTCTTTTCTCTCTTTGTACTTTAATGTCTTCCCAATTCATTAAGTTGTGGATTTTTATTTTACTCTACTTGGGATTCACTGGCATTTCTGATTAAGAGGAGCTTTCATTAGTGAGAACTAGAAAATTCTCACTTACGGTCTTTGCAAATACTGCCTATACTGCCATCCTCTATTTCCTTTTCCTGAAATTGCATTTGAACCCATAGAAGACTTCATTTTATCGACAATTTTTATACATTTATTTTTATATTTTTTATGGTTGTGGGTTTATATTGTGGTTCACAAAGAATTTTTAAAGCTATGTCTTCCAGTTTACTAAGTATTCACTTAACTTTTTAAATCTATCTTTAAGCCCATAGATTGACGGTTTCATTTTTTGGTAATATTACTAATTTCATTTTATTTTTATTTCTAAAAGGCTTATTGGTGTTCTCCACATCTCTTTTGTAACATGAGTAAACATGCCCTTACTCATATTTAAAATTATGTTTTATGTTCTTAAGCAAAATATTGCTTCAAATATTTTTTCAATATTTTAATTTATATTTATCATATTCTTATTTATCTTTTCATACCTATTTCAAATGTAATAAAATCTACAAAGCATCTTTTGATATACTAACAGTCGAGGTAGCATTGATTACTTCCACATTTGTACCCACACTACGCACAATGCATTCTAAAACACTAAACCTATGGTATCTTTCAAAGTTATTTTTCTATATATCTGATTTCCCCAAAGACTGCACCTAACTTACTGATTTATATTCATGACACCTACTACTGATTTTAGCTCATAAAATATACTCTGTAAGTGGTTAGGTATCTATAATTTTCTTTTTTTTTTTTTTTTTTTTGAGACATAGTTTCGCTCTTGTTACCCAGGCTGGAGTGCAATGGCGCTATCTCGGCTCACCGCAACCTCCGCCTCCTGGGTTCAGGCAATTCTCCTGCCTCAGCCTCCTGAGTAGCTGGGATTACAGGCACGCGTCAAGATTAGATGCAGAAATCACTTTCATTTAAGTTTTACAGAGATTCTTTCCATTAGAGTTCCTATAAAAACCACTGGTTCTTCTTTAGTATACACAAATAATATTTTCTTAATTTTAAAATGGCTTCTATTGTTTGACCAGAAACTTGGTCTACATTCTAGAGCAGGAAAATAACGATCAATAATTAAATTATTGAGTGCTTAATTTATATCATACTGTATGATGGATGCTGACATTACAGAAGTAACTTTTATGAGTCAAGTCTCAAGAATGTGAATTTAAACCAAGATTATTACTTTCTCTTTTCTTTTCTCTATCAGTTTTTTTTCTCCTGACTCTTAGATAAAATCTAGGGCAAGTTCTATGATTTAAGCAGTCATGCTCAGATGATAAAAATTCCTCTTGTCACTTCTGATTATAAATATAATCTGATTTCAGAAATAGTCAAATGTACAAATTTTATTTGAATGCAATGCTTACCTCTGTTCATCTTTTGTCAGCAGTTGGAAAGGAGGGTCATTATTGATTTCTTTATTTTTTTCAGCTAGCTTTTTTTTTAAATTATACTTTAAGTTCTATGATACATGGACAGAGTGTACAGGTTTGTTACATAGGTATACACATGCCATGGTGGTTTGCTGCACCCAGCAAATGATATCGACGTCATCTACATTAGGTATTTCTCCTAAGGCTAACCCTCCCCTTGCCCCTCAGTGTCCAACAGGCTCCAGTGTGTGATGTTCCTCTCCCTGTGCCCATGTGTTCTCATTGTTAAACTCCTACTCAAGTATGAGAACATGTGGTGTTTGGTTTTCTGTTCCTGTGTTAGTTTGCTGAGAATGATGGTTTACAGTTTCATCCATGTCCCTGCAAAGGACATGAACTCATCCTTTTTTATGGCTTCATAGTATTCCATGGTATATATGTGCCACATTTTCTTTATCCTGTCTATCATTGATGGGCATTTGGGTTGATTCCAAGTCTTTGATATTGTGAAAAGTACTGCAATAAACATATGTGTGCATGTGACTTTATAGTAGAATGATTTATACCCAGTAATGGGATTTCTGGGTCAAATGGTATTTCTGGTTCCAGATCCTTAAGGAATCAACACACTGTTTTCCATAGTGGTTGAACTCTGTAACATCTGCCCAGAAAAGAAAGAGTGGGTAATCCAAGATAAATTTTACTGGATCAGTACTATTTTGAACTTTGATTTTCTTTTGCTGTAGCAGATACTGAAGAATACCTTTTCTCTTTCAGAACATTTTATGGGAGATATCCTCAAATTGCTCATCATCACTTACCTACTGCACTCTACGGTAAGTAAAAAACTACTCTGTAATGCTGACCACTTGTTATTTTCCCCATGGCGCTCTTATCACGGCAGTCCACTTATACTCAACAGCCTCTGTGGCAACCCAGAGTATAGAAAGTCTTCCAAGTCAATAAGACAGTTATTGGAAAGTTTCCTTTTTTTTTTTTTTTTTTTTTTGAGACGGGGTTTTCGCCCTTGTTACCCAGGCTGGAGTGCAATGGCGCGATCTCGGCTCACGGCAACCTTTGCCTCCTGGGTTCAGGCAGTTCTTCTGCCTCAGCCTCCTGAGTAGCTGGGATTACAGGCACGTGCCACCATGCCCAGCTAATTTTTTGTATTTTTAGTAGAGACGGGGGTGTCACCATGTTGACCAGGATGGTCTCGATCTCTTTACCTGTGATCCACGCGCCTTGGCCTCCCAAAGTGCTGGGATTACAGGAGTGAGCCACCGTGCCAGGCTGGAAAGTTTCCTTTTTTTTCTCACATGGCTACATCTGATTTTTGGGAAACACACTTTTGAACCATCATCAGCAGAAATTTTGCTCATTTTAACACAATTCTTTATATGTTGCCACATGAAATACCAGTCCAATGCTCACCCTTTGTATTTCCTATGTGCATGGTAGTACTTTATAATTTTCCTTAATTGGAAGAAGACTTATTTAAAATTCTTCAAATGGCCTCCTTATAGTCTCCAATGCGAGGCTTAAAGTGAAAAATAAGTAATCTTTTTGCTTTCCCTATCAAAATATGGATTGCTATTTAAGGCAAAATTCTATGCAAAAATAAAAAAAAAATCAAAATTTCCAAATCTTTGCTGTAACATCGCATTAACTTACATAGCCAGGAGATGGGTGATGGTCAGAAAACTCATTTTTATTCCTTTCCTATGTGATTTAAATATTGATTGCTTGCAATAGTCTTTAAAATATAAAAATATCCAACATTGGTTATCTTAAGATATCAGCTAAAATGGAAAAAGAATCTCATTTTAGCCTCATTTTATGCAAGGATGAATAGGAAGTTTCTGTATAGGAGTTCACATTGTAAGAGAAAATACTTGGTATACAATAATTACTGACAAAATGACACTTGCTTTAAAGACACATAAACTATGTATGCTGAGTCTCCCAGAGAGTGGGAGAATAACTGTTTCTGGTTATGTAAGGTAAATTTTAAAAGGCAGGTAATATTTGAGGGATACTTGAAAGAGGGCACTTAAAAGTTTGGCTGAAGTAGAATAGCAAAAGACTATCCAATCAGAAGAAGCTGTATGTTCAAAAGCAAATAGTATTGAGAGAATAATTTTTTTTTCTGCCGGGAGGCAGAAAAGGAACAAGCTTTGGTAGTGGCAAAAAGTGGGGAATAGAAATTATGCCAGTTAAGTATTTAGGGCAAGGTGTAAAAGGCTTAATTACATATTTTTAGAAAATTGGGAATTATTAAGGATTTTTAATTCTGGAGATTAATATGATGAGATTTGGTCAAAAGTAAAATAATGTACTTCATAAGATGTTTTGCATGAAGAAATGTTCCAAGGCAGAGAAGTTGAAGATTCTATAGAAACTGCTCAAAAATCAGGTTCAGTAGTTAAATATGTGTGTTATTTATATTCAACTTACCACACTCATTAGCCTAGTGAATATTCTGACAATTTTTGAGATAAAAGAATCTATTAATACTGACTTAATTCAACATCAATCAAATGTGTTAGTGCATATAATTTTAAGAACTATTAATATCTTACAGGGATATCAAATAGTAAGAAATTACCTTCCAGATAGCCTGGTGTTGATGACATTTATGACAGTCATCAACATTTATGAGAGAGGCTGTTTAGAAAGTGATTGCAATTGTTTCCATGTAAGATTCTTCTGAGAGTCTTTTCTACAACAGTGACAGCGGGGATAATGCAGAATACCAATGCAGAGGATTTATTGTACAAGAGATATTGAGAGATTCTGCAAAAGGAGTAAAGCTTCACTTTGAGAGCTCCACCTTTCAATTGCTTGTGCATGTAAAACTATTCACGTAAAATAGGCAAGCACACAAAATTTATGTTTATATTACATTAAAACATCAATTTGGTCATCTCGGAAGTATTATGCATTACATCAAATACTGTTTGATTGCCTTCCTGAATGTGGATGCTGCCTGCTAATTCAATTGCTAAATATTTGATAATTCAACACCCACAAGATTTATTACTCCACCTCACACTCACAGCAGACTCCTTTCTCAATGATGGGAAAATATCTCTAAATAAAAACAATTCAGAGATATTGGGTGTGGTGGCTTATGCCTGTAATCCTAGGTACTTGGGAGGCTGAGGTGAGAGGATACCTTAAACTCAGGAACCAGGCACTGCAGTGAGCTGAGATTGTGACACTGCACTCCAGCCTAGGTGAGAGAATGAGACTGTCTCAAAAAAAAAAAAAAAAAAAAGAAAAAAAAGAAAGAAAAGAAACATCACAAAGAACAACACCCCCCACACACAGAAATCTGATGGGTCTGATGGGGTGAATCTCTCACACTGATTTCATGATGCTAAAGATACTTTCCACAAACATCCAAGTTAATTGCAGTAGGGTAGGAAAGGTGAATTTGAAAAAGGCAGTGAAGAAGAACTAGGTTTTAGGGACCTGCAATCTGATGAAAGCACAAACATCTGCTCTTCTCTTAAAATAGAATCACTCTTACGAGGCACAGTTGTTCCATATGAGTCTGCTCTCATCCCCTATCTATCACAAAGTAAAGGTAATACCTTAAGAAGAATAGGAGTAAGTAGAATACTTCCAATCTCCCGACATCTATAATCCATAGTAACCTGTAGTCTTATATAGAGAAAATACTAAAAAAAAAAAAAAAAAAAAAAGAACTTTACTCAATGTAGTTGTAAGTATTGTCAACTTTAATACAAATTTTAAGATTATTCTGAAAATGAAATATTTAGAAAAATTCATAGATATTTTATAATTATAGATACCAAAGGCACTATTTCTAGTGAACATATAAAATGTATTTTGAAAATTTTAGAAGGTTAAAAAAAAATTAAAACATATTGAGCAAAGAAGGAAGTGTCTAGTTTTACGAAGTAAGTATTCTGCTTGAATAAACAGTGATACACTGTGAATTGCCTTAATTATATTTGTATTTTTTTTTCTGATAATGTCTGCAACTTGGAAGGATGAGTTATGCTTTTAAAAAAGCTATGTTTATAGCTTTGACAAAACTTTCTATTTCTTATTGAAAAGCTATATTGTAACTTTCATTTCCAGCCATAGTGCTGATTATACATCCTGTGGGAAAAAAACATTGACACTGAATACATAGAAATGCTGTTTCTAAATGCATAGCTAACATTATAAGATATTGAGCGAAATCCCCAGAAATATATAATGAAGAAGAAGCTGAAAACCACAGCTAAGTGAGGCCTGCGATCATTAGTGCCTTAAGGGCATTTACTAAGTTTAGTAGCTGAAATCTTGGGTTTTAATTTTTGTATAAGTGAAAGTATGCAAGACTTTGGTTGTGTCTAAGGTGGTTACTTAGAAATAAGAATTTTCCTTCAAAGAAGAAAATTGAAGAGGTACAACTTTAGGAAAGTATAATTTTAAAAAGTCTTCCCACAGGCGACATTGGGCAATAAAATATATTTGTAACAGCTCGCATCCAAGGCAGAATTTTAAAAATAGAACAAGAAAAATTCTGTTGGCCATTTACAATGATATGCCTGGCCTCATAAAGATACTGATTTGAGTTTACAATTTTTGAGTAGTTATTAAGTGAATGACCAATTTAAATTAGGTTAATGTTTTATAGCATTCTGAAGTGCCTGGCAGAGAGACAGTCTCTCCGGAAAGAGACCTATGTATGACCTCACAGAATATTAATAGAATTGAGACAAAAATGGATACAGTTCAAAGAAAAATAGATGATTACATAACCATAGTGTGAAATTATGACACATCAATCTCAATAAACAAATGCATCTAAATTAATATGCACAGAGGACATTTTATAAGTCAACAGAATATATACAAATATTTACATGCATATAAAATAATGCACCTTTAAATTACAGAGTGAACCTTTAAATTACAGAATGATTCTTTGTCTAAATAAACACAATGATAAAAATTTAAAAATACTTTAAAAAGCAAGGTAATAAGAATATGACATCAAAATCCATAGCCTACAGCTGAAAAACCATTTAACAAGATGGTATCTTAAATTCTAATCACCAAAATATGAAATAAAAAACAATAAAGAGGCTTCAAACTGCCAAAATTTGTTCTTTTGAATATATCACAAGACAGAAAAAAAAATGAGATAGTTGATTTGAGAGAGAGAAACAAAATAAGTAATGAACTATATTAGAAACAAATGAGCAAAGATAACCACAGATTACATTATTACCAATATACTAAAATAGTTTAGAAAAGTCAGCATAAAATCCTAGAGAAATTAACAATTTCTATAATAAATACAACATCAAGTAAGCAATAAGTCAATTGAAAAGTCGAGAAGACCCAACCTTTAAGTACATTTTATCAGTATTTCAAAATCTATACTTTTATATCTCACTCATCAAAAATATTTCAGATAAAGGCAATTTAAAAATAAGATTTACAAAGTAGCAGTTAATCATCTGATATATGATTTGCAAAAGAACAACTAATAATTTTATTTATATATATATATATTCTCAAATTTTTTCATATTCTGTGAGGTCATAGATCTCTTTGCAGAGAGGATTTTTCCTCTGCCAGGATCTTTAGAATTCTCTAAAATATTTACCTAATTTAAATTGGTCTTTGACTGAATAACTACTCAAAAAGGATATACATGTACACCCTTACAGATGTTAGAAAAATCAATTGACCTTTTGAGGCTAGTATAAATTTCATATTTAACAGGATGTTAAAAGAGTAAGAAATATCCAACATACTCTATATAAATGTTTATAGATATAATTCCTAAATAAGATATTCACAAATAAAA